GGGCTGAGAGAGAGAGAGAGAGAGAGAGAGAGAGAGAGAGAGAGAGAGAATCCCAAGCAGCCTCCACACTCAGGGCAGAGCCCATCTGGGGGCTCAATCTCATGAACCATGAGATCATGACCTGAGCCAAAACCAAGAGTCAGATGCTTAACTGACTGGGCCTCCCAGGCACCCTGTGATTTTCTCTTTTAATTGCCATTGTGTAGGGGCACCTGCGTGGCTCAGTCAATTAAGCATCCGACTTCAGCTCAGGTCATGATCTCACGATTCGTGGGTTCCAGTCCTGCGTTGGGCTCTGTGCTGACAGCTCAGAGCCTGGAGCCTGCTTCAGATTCTTTATCTCCCTCTCTCTCTCTGACCCTCCCCTGCTCACACTGTCTCTCTCTCTCTCTCAGAAATAAATTTTTAAAAAAACTTAATTGCCCTTGTGTAAGACACTAATCACCATCCTAAAATATACTCTTGCATCTCCACTTGCAAATGCTTTCAAATACATTCACCCAAACACATTAAATCAGGATTTTCTTGGTTCAGACTCATGCTCCAGGATATCCCAGCATTGGCCCAACATGTCCCTCCAACATGTGTCTGGGTACTCATCCACAAAACAATCTGGAAGGTTATCTTCCATTAGCCTCTCCCAGGCTAGGAATTTATTTTAATATTGATTCTTATAATCACAGAGAGACATTCTTGACCAAATGGCAGCATCTGTTTTGCTTATCATTAGTATGATTAGCATGCAAGGGTACATGTGAAGTGAGTCCTAATCCTTTAGGGTCTGAATATCCTCAGAATATAGCACTGAGGTCACCCTGTCTTTACTGGTGAGACTGGGGATGGTCAGGTGGGAACCTGATTGGTCTCTGGATAAGAAACAACACAGAGATACACAGACACCCAAACCCAGACACTGAGCATCTAAGACCCCAGCCCTGCCTTTCCTGAATGCAATTAGGAAAGTTCAGTCTCCGATATGTTAAAGAAAACACTATTCTGATATTTATGAAAGATAGTAAGGAAGCCTTTATTCAAGGAACTATGCATTGGGGTGTTTGTGGTGGGAGAGAGAAAGAAAAATGGGAATTTATAATCAAAGAGTAGAAGGAAAGGGACAGTAGATGGAAAATGATTAAGAGGGTAGGAGGATTCTTGCAAAATAGACCTAACAAGAGTCTTGCTAAAGGCAGGCCAGGGTGACCAGATATCACTTGGTGGGGGGGGGGGGGGGGGNAGGGACAGTAGATGGAAAATGATTAAGAGGGTAGGAGGATTCTTGCAAAATAGACCTAACAAGAGTCTTGCTAAAGGCAGGCCAGGGTGACCAGATGGGGGGGGGGGGGGGGGGGGGGGAGGATGAGGATTTTGGTCAAATATGAAGGGCATCAGATATTGAGGGTGGTGGATTCTTGCTACAAGGGCACAATGCCACATGGGAGCCTGAAGATTGGAGCCTAGTAGAGAAGAGGGTTCAGGGAAGTCAGGCTAAATTTGAGTCAAGAAGAGAGCCTTTGTCATACATAGTCCCCCATCTGAAAACCACAGGCCAGATTTGAACTTGGAATGAAGGATTCATTCCACATTTATCAGGCACCCTCCAAGCACACTCCTGGGTGATGGGAATGTAGAGATGAAAGAGTTTCCTTGCCTTCCAAGAAATCAGAGACTGTTGGAGGAAGGACGACAAGCAAACAGGAGACTGTGCCCTCAAAGCAGACTGAGTGTGAGTGCCCCTCAGCTCTCCCTGACTGCCTGGCCTTCCAAGTGGCATCTAACCTCACTGGCCTCCAGCTCTTCAGCTGTGAAATGGGAAGAATCGCAGAAACTAGATGGTAGATTTTTCTGGGGTTGGCTGAAATCTGTGAACTGCTTGCAGAGTGGCTAGCATGTTGTAAATACACAACAGACAACTTTAGGAATATTGCTGTCGCAGATGGTGACATTGTTTGTAGCATGGTGGCAGCGCTGTGATGGAGGTAAAAGTACAGAGGACAAACACCCAACCCCGGTGAAGGATGGTTTGAATCAACATGGGTGCACTAAAGGTGATGCTTCAACTATGCCTGAGAGAAGGGGAGACAGTCAGGCAAAGCTAACTAACAGCACCCAGGACAAAGCCACTGCAGCAAAAGAGGGAGAGGCCCAGGGAACATGCCCATGTTTGCAAATAGGAAGGGCATGAACAATTAGTAAGCCCATAGGAGATTTGACACAGAAATGAACTGAGGCTCAGAGAGGTGTGGTAGCATAAGTAGTAGCCTAAGGTTACACACCTATTAGCTGCCATGATTCACTTCTGAGCTTGCAGGATTCTAAAGCCCCAGCTCTGGATCCAGTCTGTCCTCTCTGAGCCAGAGCATAAACCATGTCAGTGTCAGGAGGCCTATGGGAGATAACTCAGCGGCTAGACCAGGAAAGTCCCAGTGTTCACATTAAGGGGTTTGAGTGCTACATGGGAGAAACAGCCTTTCCTAAACAGAGGAAGGATTATTACTAATTCCAGAGGTGTTCAAGCTGGGTATATCTGTAGCGCCAATCTGGTATTCATGGCACGGAACTGGGATTATGGTGCTGTGACTCATCGCCGTAAAAGGGGAATGTTTTAAAAATGATAATTTGTTTCTATGAATTTGGCTTTTTCAGACTCTACATGTAAGCAAGATCATGCAGTATTTGTCTTTCTCTGTCTGACTCACCTCACTGAGCATAATACCCTCAAGACCCCTTCATGTTGTCACAAATGATAGGGCTTTCTTCCTTCTCCAGGCTGAATAATATTCCATTGTGTGTGTTAGCCATTCATCTGTTAACAGGCACTTTGGTTGTTTCCATATCTTAGCTATTGTGAATCGTGCCATGGTAAACAAGGGGGTGCAGATGTCTTTTTGACATCTTGTTTTCATTTCCTTGCATGTGTACTAGAAGTGGGATTGCTAGATTAGCTAACACTACAGTGGCGATCAAATTGCAATACATAAATGTACTAAATCAACACACTGTACACCTTACAGTTATAACCCGTTATGTGTTAATTACCTCTAAATTTTAAAAAATGGTAATTTGCCCTAATCTCATGAACAGATGAAAAGGTAACAGTAAATGGAAACAAGGTTTACATATGGTACCATCCATGTGAATCAAGGTCCCTTCTTAGGGATGCTGTTGAGGAATTAACATATCTGGGTAGGAAGCCAAAGCTATTAGATGCCCCCCAATGCATATTGTCTGCCATTTTGAGCATGAAGAAAGACATTCTGTGATCTCTAAGACCAGAAGGAGCCCCAATGATCATCTAGTCAAAATTGGGGGCGGGGAGGTTGTAGATGATAAAACCAAGATTCAGAGAAGTGAGGTGATTTGGCACAGATACTGTTGACATATTTGCCGTATGACACCAACCTCATCCTGCCAGCCATACAGAGAAATCCCAGGAATCTGAAAGCATTCACACAGGATAAAGTGGGTATTCTCCTCCAAATAATTTCCCCCAAATCTCCTTAGCAAAATGTTTCGCAGGCTCTGAAGTGAGGGCTACGTGAACAACTCTGTCTGACTGCTCCACCAGGCAGGCATAGAAAGCCTGCCCGGAAGAATCAGATCCCCCATCCTCGGTGAGCTTACATGCCCTGCCTTCAAGATGTTTATCTCTGGTATGTGTGTGTGTGTGTGTGTGTGTGTGTGTGTGTGTGTGTGTGTGGTTGGATAGGGAGGGAAGGAGAAGCAAGACACATCTTTTCTGAAGGTCAGAAGGGAATCCAAAATGTTAGTCTCCTTACCCTCAAAGCCCTCTCTTACTGGCTCAGCCACAGGGTCGCCCTGCCCAAGAAGTTCAGCGGGCTGGACCAAAGGCATTTGTCCACCAACCTTGGAAATGGACAATAAGATCATTGCCAGGGGGAACTAGGCTGGCTTGAGAAGGGAAACGGGAGAACCCCACCATCTGTAGCACCTTATGATGCTTTCTTGGCAGTCTGTCTCTTGGAGAGATCACAGAAGTGTGTGGTGTCTTGATAAACATAATAGGGGAAGTCAGAAAAAGATATAATTCTGTCTTGTAATGATGAAAAAATACAAAACCACCAAAAGTAAACCCTAGAAATTATTACAACCCCAATAAGAAGACCATATGGTGTTGGCCTATGAGAACCATTTGTGGTCTTCTATATTCTCCTCAGGGAGATGTGTAATTATTTTTTAAAAATATATAAGAGAATGCACATGAATCCAGCAATGTCCTTCCCAAAATAGAAAACAACACTTAGAGTCAAACTGAATTTTCACCCATCCGTCTGGCTGGCAAGATGGTAGATGACAAATATTCTTGATTCTGCTAGCCAAGGCCATGAGGTATACAAAGAAGCTTCTAGAAATCTAATTGTTGGACCTGTAGAATCTGTCATGTTGGCAGCCAGTGAGGTACATCACATAGTTATATAACAAATGAAAGAGGTAACATCAATTGTCAGGAAAAGAACTGAAACCAGGAGACAGGAGATGACAGGTTGTCATATTTTTCCAGCCCCCCCTCAAGAACCCTGCCGAAACTTCTCTGAAGAATTAATAAATGAGGGACTTAGCCTGTTCCCATTTTGTGCTCTCATCACAAAATCAGCCGGGCTGCTTTTTCTTTCCTCCCAGTGTGTCACCTTAGGATGCCAAAGTGTTCTTCAGACTGTGAAGGATGTGTCAATCAGGATGCAGGGAACCTCGGTTGAGTCCCTGACCCATATTTAACAATATGTATGACATGACTTAACATGCTAAAAAGCAAAAAATAAACAAACAAACAAACAAAAACAAAACAAAAGCAAAAAACAAAAAAACAAACAGACAAAAAAACAAAAAAAAAACCTCTGCAAAGCTCATGTTCAAAAAATGATTTCATTTGCACTTTCCGGGTATTTAAGCCAGCGTTGCCCTGGGACCGACCAGCATGCAAAGGGCTAAAAGGAAAAATCAGACAGGGATTTTGATTTGATCTGAAAGTGAGAGAAAGTGATATGGTCAGTCTGTTTTTCAAGACCCCTTTTGCCAAAAACAAGAGCCTAAACTCCTCCTCGGTGATGGTGGTGGTGGCGGTGGAAACAGTCAGAGCTGATCCTGCTCAAAGCTCCCGTGTCTCCAGCAGTGAGAGCCACACTCCCAACGTTCCATGTGCCCGTCTCCCACTGCCGTTCGGTACAACCAGCTGAATGGGAGCTGCCTCCCTCTTTCCAGCACTTTAACTAACCAGGTTGGAGGCCATTACTGCAAATCTAGTGCAAGGACAACACAATTTTGTTTTGTTTTGTTTTGTTTTTACTTTAACTTATGTACTAACATATGCAGTTCTACCTGTGAAACAGTTTGTGACTTGAGGTCCAAACTTTTGGGAATCGCTCCCCAGGACAGAATGCCAGATACCAAACAGAATTTAAATGCAGAGATATTCGTCGCATCGTTATTTATATCAGACGTTTAGACACAGTATACATGTTCAGCAATAGAGGTATTGATTAAGTTATTCATGCCTCTTGGACAGGATACTCTGTAGATATTGAGTGTTATGCTTTTGAAGAGTTCCCAATAATACGGGAAAGTGCTTAGTTATAATGCTAATGGAAAAGAAAATGAGAACACAAAAATTGTGCTTCACAAATATGCCCCCCACACATATATATACTGTGCCTATGAAGATTTTAAAAAAAAGAAAGAGAGAGAGAGAGACTCAAAGGAAATTTGCCAAGATACCATTAGTAGTTGTCTTTGGCTAGGACTTGGGGTTTTAGAAATTATTTCTCATGTGACTATTCTAAACTTTCTATGATTTTTCATGTCAGCCATGCATTGCTTTTATAACAAGAAAAAAAAATATCTCTAATATGGAACCAGTGGGCTTCTGACCTCTGATTTGCATTTCTTGAGGGGAGAAGCAAACCCTCATGTTCTTAATTACGCTGGGAAAAGAGAAAGGGAAGTCAAGGATTACAGCCAAAAAAGCAAAACCGTCTCCATTTTCTGGCGCTCTGGTAATTGCCCGGTTGTGCATGCACAAAGGTCCCTTGAGAAACCTTGAGGTTATGGTAATGTGGGTGGGCTTTCATCTACTAAAAGCAACCTGAACTGAATTGTGTCCCAAGAGTAGAGAGAAGACTCCGTTAAAATAAATCAGCAGGGGCTCCTGGGTGGCTCGGTCAGTTAAGCATCCGACTTCAGCTCGGGTCATGATCTTGCAGTTTGAGCCGTAGATCGGGTTCTGTGTTGTCAACTCAGAGCCTGGAGCCTACTTCGGATTCTGTATCTCCCTCTCTCTCTGCCCCTCCTCTGCTTGCACTCTGTCTCTCTGTCTCTCTCTCAAAAATAAACATTAAAAAATATAAAATAAAATAAACCAGCTAATTGAATCAATCAATCAAACCACTAGCAAATCCAATATATAATAAAATATCCACTCAAAAGTCAAATAATCATGTATTTTCTCTAATTGAAAATTCATACATCTGAGTCTTTTTAAAGCTAAGACACACTAGACTTACATTAATTGCATCCAATTTCTATCTCTGGAGCATCATTTCTTTTTTTTTTTAATATTTTTATTTATTTCTAGGAGAGAGAGAGAGACAGCGTGAGCAGGGGAGGGTCAGAGAGAGAGAAAGGGAGACAGAGACTCTGAAATAGGCTCCAGGCTCTGAGCTGGCAGTCAGCATAGAGCCTGACGCGGGGCTCGAACCCACGAACTGCGAGATCATGACCTAAGCGAAAGTCGGACGCCCAACCGACTAAGCTACCCAGGCGCCCCTGGAGCATCATTTCTTATTCAAGCACTTCAGTATGAAACTGTGAGTCTTGTTCAAGAAGATTACATAGAAAGTCAATATACAGTTTATATGGAACTCCATAACAAAAGATTACACTTATTTGATGTTAATTTTCTCACAAAAAATTTAAATACCACTTTCCGCTGATCTTTGGGTTGCTTATTTCCAGACGTGTTTGAATTTCCTCTGATATCCTCCTCCCCTCCTCCACATAAATCAGCATGTCCATTTCTAAGCCAGTACCTTTAGCAAAATGTTACTCCGAAGAACTCTGTCAACCACAGGGAGTTTATTGTCTCAGATGCTGGAAATAAAATAGGAGTATGTTTTAGGTGTATAGGATTCTATTCATCAAGTTGCATTGTTCTCTTTCCGGTGCCAGGTGACCTTGGGTTGTGCCAAAGTGAAAACTGAGCCAGTATCTTCTTATGGTCCTTTTATGACCAACCACAATCCCTGTCTAGATCCTGATTAGGGGCCTTGGATCATTCTGCATCTTGATGAACATAGATTTTTGCATTTCTGTTAATCACTCAGTTGTTTCAAATTATTTTGAATATCAACAGTTCATCAGGGAAATATGCTGCTCAGCTGGTGATTTTGTAAAGTCGTTGCATTGTGTTGATGGAATGATCTCTGGGTCTAATTCTCCCCCTTTCTCCCTGCTCTTGTTCCCAGGAAACACATCTCCAAATCCTATTAAGAAACTGAATGAGTAAATAGGAAATTTCAGAGATGTTTCTTTAAGGAAAGTTTCAGATGTTGCATGTTAATATCCTCAAACCTATTGGTTAACATTATTATAGATAGACTTTTCTAAATACCTACAAAATCATAAGAATTTTCCTAATTATCCATTGTGTTGCTATGGTGTTTCTCTAAAATTCTCTGATGTGTTACAAACGTCTTGTCAAACTCAGATACCATCACATATCTAACACAGCATGAAATGACTATGGAATGTTCCTTTCTGTCTTTGATAGATGGAGCCAAAGTGCCCTTGCAGCTTACAGATGTGTTTCAGTTTAATATCATGGTTATTTTCATTTTCTAAAGCTTGCCTCACTCTCCATGTTGCTTTTCACAAACTCATTGCTTGCTGGGTCACAAATTAAGCTAATTAATAGACACTTTGAAAGGGACTCAGTTTAATTTTTCCAATATGTTTTTCTGTACCCTTAACTTGTTCAACTACAGGACCTGCTGGGTTTTAGAAGTGGCAAGTCCATGATTAATTCAGCCACATACCCTCTATTTTATCATTTAAATGGTGAATATACTTCTTTGTTGTCCAGAAGATGAATCAAACCATCTTCAAATATAAAACTACTACTTCTCTCAAATCATTTTTATACCTCTGGGGTTTTGTCGTTTTTCTGTAATATATTCTTGCTTTGAGTCTTTTTTTAAAATTTGTTTTAATGTTTATTCACTTTTGAAAGGCAGAGCGTGAGCAGGGGAGGGACAGAGAGAGAGAGAGACACACACACACACAGAATCTGAAGTAGACTCTAGGCTCTGAGCTGTCGGCACAGAGCCCAACGTGGGGCTGGAACTCACGAGCTATGAGATCATGACCTGAGCCTAAATCAGACGCTTAACCGACTGAGCCACCCAGGCACCCTAGTATTTTTCTATACTATGGTTTAATCTACATGGCATCTAAGTTTCAGACACTTGGGTGAAGCATACTTCTGGGTTAATTGGTGCTACCTATACCTCAAAAATGTCATGTTCGTACTAAGTCTCCAACAGTTTCTAAAACTCGGGCAGCCCAGTTTCTATCACATAATATTTGACCAAGTGCTTAGGAATAATAGAGTGTCCAGTAGGCTCTGGTTTAAAATTGATGGTTGACTCTTGAAACACACGCTTGGCGTAGAACCTAATGTTACCATGCTGTGTGGAATGTGCCACTTTTTCAATTTTGTTTCTCCAAACCAGTGTCCTTAACACAGCGATTTGGTAATAATTCATCCACTCAGCAAATAATACCGAGCAAGGACTAGCTAGGTGTCCTGACTGCAAATGGACTTCTTTTCTGTACAAAGAGACATGTCTACCACTAAGGGGAAGGAAGGGCTGAAGCGGTGTGCTGGACAGCCTCACAGAGCATGTGAGAGTCACAAGGAGAAGTGCGGACTCCATCCCGGTTATACAGGAAGGCTTCCTCAGTGTCACACGTCAAATGAAAGGCTTGTGGTTTATTCTGCAAGTAGAGGGAACTCCAAAAAAAGGGACTGAGAGACGCCTGGCTGGCTCAGTAAGTTAAGTGCCCTATTTCTGCTCAGCTCGTGGGTTCAAGCCCTGCACTGGACACTCCATTCTCAGTAGAGAGCCTGCTTCATATCCCCTGTCCCCATCTCTCTCTCCCTCTCTCTCTCTCTCAAAAATAAACATTTTTTAAAAAGGAACAGAATGGGGCCCCTGGGTGGCTCAGTCAGTTAAGTGTTCAACTTCAGCTCAGATCATGATCTCACTGCTTATGGGTTCAAGTCCCTCATCGGGCTCTGAGCTGACAGCTCAAAGCCTGGAACCTGCTTCAGATTCTGTGTCTCCTTCTGTCTCTGTCCCTCCCCCACTCATGCTCTGTCTCTCTCTCTCTCTCAAAAATAAATAAACATTAAAAAAAATTTTAAGGGAACTGAATAAACAAAGGCTACGAGTTCAGAAACAATGTCAGGGGCCCTGAAAGGCACAAGTTGCAAGGTATCTGGGTGGCTCAGTTGATTAAGCATCTGACTTAGGCTCAGGTCATGATCTCATCATTCTTGAGTTCAAGCCCCACATCGGGCTTACTGCTGTTCGCACAGAGCCATCTTCAGATCCTCTATTTCCCTCTCTCTCTGTCCCTCCCCTGCTCTTGCTCACATTCTCTCTCTCTCTCAAATACATAAACATTTTTTAAAAATAAAGGAGGGGCACCTGGGTGGCTCGGTTGGCTAAGCGTCTGACTTCTGCTCAGGTCATAAGCTCACAGTTCATGAGTTTGAGCCCCAGGTCAGGTTCTGTGCTGACAGCTCAGAGCCTGGAGCCTGCTTCGGATTCTGTGCCTCTCTCTTTGCCTCTCCCCAGCTCTCTCTCTCTCAAAAATAAATAAAAACATTAAAAAAATTGTAATATAAAACTAAAAACATAAAGAAATAAGTTGCTCAGCATGACGGGCATGAAGTGTGGGGTCGTGGCTGTGGTGGTGGAGGGTGGGTAGCAGCATGGGTGTAGCAGTGACCATGTGTCACCAAGAGATAAAACTAAAGATATAGCAGCCAGGAGTGTGGTACTGGCATTCCTTGAATCCCTTGCTCAGAGTTATTAGCAATGGAAACCACTTAACATTTTTAGTAAAGAGAGTGATATAATTAGGAAGATTGCTTGGGTAGC